CCGCTTAGCGGCTTTTGCAACTTGCTTCCTCTTGGTTTTTCTGTCTTTTGGTTTCGTTTCATGTGATTCCCCGCGCCCCTCCAGAGTCCACCGCACCAGCCTGCAAGTGTGTGCCTGGGGATTCTGGAGGGGCGCGGGGACTTGGAGGGCGCCCGAGGTTCTTGGCTCGCAATTGGGGGAAGGTTTTCCCGAAGCGAGCGCAGTAGGCGGCGAGTTTTCTGCGGATTCGTATCATGCCCGGCAGGATTGAATTTTGTCCGGATTTTTGCAGTCCTTCGTTGAGTTTTCTCCTAAATAAAGCTACTTAAGTGCTTTGGTACGTCAACAGAATTTGGCACTTAGTGCAAGTTAATATGTGTATGTCATGTCATGGCCGCAGGCCGCACCTCGTCTCATTACTACGTGCTTCATATCAAGAATTACTTCCACCTCATAATGATGTTTACAACCAGCCTACTAGTAGCATATTGATGCCTATTCGCATAGTTCATTTCAATTACTTCATGTCGATTACTTCAACCTCAATAGCCGCCTGGACCATAATAGCATAACAGCATAAGTATTTCATATTTTTATGTTCATAGAGTATTTTTATGTTCATAATGTTTACTTGCATTGATAGCTGCTACGATGGCATCTTGTGCTGCGTCGTTTTCAGCATTCATAGCGTCTTTTGCATCTTCTTGAGCCTGTTGCTCGAGTTGTAGAGAGGCGTTCTTTCCCTCTAGAGCCAAAAGGCGGTCCTTCTCCAAATCTGTGATTTTGCGCAGTGTAAAAGCATGCATAGCCTCACTGTTTGTGATCTTGTCGGCCACGGCGCGTCAACATTAGAAGGTGCCATGAAGACGATTGACTGCTTCAACCTCGAGCGAAGTTGTTGGAATGTTTCTAATGCTCGTGCGCTCTCAATTAGATTTAGAACAAAGGTGCTAGTCGTGGGAGAGCCTATACAACACGATGTTGAAGAAACCTAAAATAAGAATCAACTAGATGCATTAAGGACCTGCTGTTTTCCCTGGGTTTAGGGTTCAGGGGTTGACAACTTACACGATGTTGAATGAAAGCTGATCGCCATAATCTTTCTTCTCATGTTCGATTTCTTTCTGCCGGTAGGATTCTACGACAGATAAGGAATTTGCCCGTGCCTCCAAAGACTCTCGCTCGGCTTCTTTCACTGCTGCCGCAACTTAGGGGTTGAAAGTTGAGGTTGACCACCCCCATCTAGTAAGAAAGTATAGCTATATCTAGTAAATCTATGGCTTTCCTACTTGAAGAAATCTCCCATAGAGATGCTCACTGCATGGCACAGCTGGCATTTGGTTTTGGTAGCCTAATTTTGATCATAAGGAACACAAGAAGGGAAGCCTTGCGATCGAATTCAGGTTACCAAATACCAGGCAAAGCCATACACTCACATTAGAGGTGTCAACTTCCAACCCTTAATCAAATTGTTGTCGTGCGCGCGTCTCAGCCCCCTGAATCTTGGCCAACATTTCTTGTGTGCTCAGCGCAGCTTTTTCGCTGAGTTTAGAAGAGTTAAATAATGGCAGTCTACATCTAAAAATAGGAGGACATCAACGGTTGTAGGAAGTCGACAGTCTTAGCAAGGGGAGATTATATTGTGCATCATTGCACGACCCCCAATGGTCATCACTAACCATCAGCGAGATGAAACAAACAGTTCCTGACACCAGGACTCCGAAGAGTGGCGTGAGGAAGAGTAAGCCTAAATACGGGATACAAATCAAAAATTGCTAACCGGGCCTCCTGAGATCATTACTCTATCAATATATCAAAGTTGGCACTTACTCCTCTCTCCCCACTGGTCAAGTTACTTAGCATAGCAAGGGGAGGACAAAAAGGATGGTTGACAACCCCGTACATGTACGACTATAGAAGCATCGAAAGGACAGTCTTGGCAAGAGTGTCAAAAGGAGGAACACAAAAAGGAGCCGGATTGGTTGCACGTGTACGAGTACACGAGGAAGAATATCTATATTATCATTGATGATATTATTGCCGTTGTACTAATCAAAATCATACTCCATATAAATATTAACGGCAACTCGCTGGTAGCTCGAAGAAATTTGATGAAGCGCAAGTTGTAAAAATGCTGACAAGTTAGTACAACTACTCTGCTGTTGAGAAGAATTAGAACTCATCTTCTTGACCCATAACATTTCCTCGAAAGGCTATCTTCGTGGCGAATTCTTGTGCTTTGAGCTGCTTTAGTTCCGCAGGAAGTTGTGTCTTTGTGTCGACTTCAGCGGCTTTCATGGCATCCCGAACTTCCACAGTCACATCACTCATCTTTTCCAAGATACTGGCGACCCAAGCTTGATAACCGGCAATGATTTTCTTACTCTTCTTCGTGAAAGTATTAGAAAATGAAGCTCAGAGGACGATCGCAATCACTTTCAACAAGATGAAGTTGAAGCTCAGAGGACAATCATCATATTCTCAACAAGTTGTAGACGGCGCATCTTTCATTATTTTCCTTCCGTTGAGGAAAAGCGCGCAACTTGTCAGAGATTGAGGGAGATCTGCCGAAGAAAGACGAGATGAAACCTAGTACGTAGTTCGAATCAATCATCCATACTCTCAAGTACTTATCGAAACAAATGAATTTAGACCTCGTCGATGCCTTAAAATTGGTTGTATTTTCTCGCGCCTCGTCTTCCTTGAAGACGATTTCCGCACGCTGTTGCTTTAGAGTCGGCTTTATTCCATCGTGGTCCCCTCATCTCGACCCCTTTTTTTCCCATGAACAGACACAAGGCACCAAAAGGGAAACAAGATTCCGAGAATGATGGAAAAAAGCTGACCTTAATTGTTTCATGTCATCCTCAGCAGCAGCTTTCTCAGCTTCTTCTGTCGCCTGCTGCGCTGACGCAAGGGCCTTAGCATGCGTCTCGTTTGCTATAACTTTCAATCGTTTGGTCTCTTAGAGGACTTTTTTCAAATTATATAACTTATTATTCGCATCTTCTACTTGTTTCTTCGATAGATAAAATCGTGTGAAGGTCATCATGATCATTGTATTGAATAGAAACAGCGATGTCATCATATGACATATTCATATTATCCTTTGCAAGTGGGTGATATTATCCTTTGGGTGCTGAGCCTGAGGGAGCTTCTTTTTCAAGAATCATATGCTCTTGGAAAAGCAAAAGAAGCATCTCTTTTTTCAACATTAATGGCTACTGGGTAATTACATGAAGCCGTAAGTCTGTGCAATTTGTTGAGTGTCCTCGAAGGAGGCATACTCCATTACAAGTTGTGTCTGCAATCCTAGTGTCTCACTACGGTAGCGATCAGTCAGTTCTGCGTAGGACGTCAAGTTCCTACCAGCGGTGGGGATTAGAAAAAGAAGACCTCTAAAGAGATTCTTTCCACATCTGGTAAGTAGGTCGGATACTAGGGAAAAGAAGAAGAACTAGTACAGCAGTTACGAGATGTCGATCGTACATTAAATCACTCATAAGATCCTCGTGAGCAGCATGTTGTCGAACCACCAACCAAACATGATCAGCTTACTCACTTACGCGCTGTCGTGTTCCTGTCCCTGTGATGGTTCGACGTAACATCATTCTACGAGACATTATTACATAGAAGTTGTCAACATGGGCGAATCTGTCTCAGCAGTTAGTCCATAACACAACCATTTCTGCGTACTTGTCGGAGAGGCTCTTCGCTGTTGCTACCTGAGACTTCATCGCGTCCGTCGTTTCCCTAGCAACATATTCCGCATGGCTCTTCTTCATGATGGCATCTTCCTGGTGTTAGATGCTTAATCTTAATCTATCATAGTACTGATCGAAATGAAAATTATCGCTCATATTTTATAATTAGCGAAGATCGTTTAATAGATGAGTTGATACAATATTTCATATCAACCGTCTATTTTGTATCCACTACGTACCAGATTGAAAAAATTCAAATGCAAATTCTTTAGGATTCAAACTCCATGGATACAATTTAGAGCAAATAGAGGCAACTACTAAGTAATCCTATCTTCATAAAGTCTTTAAAAACAAAAACTATATTGACTAATACAACTAAAACTAAAACTATTTGAAATCAACTAAGTGCAAACCATAATGTTTCGCCCTTGCCACCTTTCGTGCAGTCTCGCTCATTTTTTGGTAGTGTTCCTTCATGGCGGTCTCTGCCCTCGTTGCTTCTTTGGTCGACCGTTCTAAGTCGACCTTCGTAGATTCCTCACTTTGCTTTGCGCGAGCGGCTTTGAGTATGAAGACGGGAAACGGAAAATGAGGAATCTTTCTATGAAGAAGAAGGGAAATAAGTCAAGGATCACGTTGGTCTGAGTACGAGTAGAAGAAGGAGGAGAAGTCGGAGTAGTGTAGCCAATCATGAACAAGGGGTGCGTGATAGCATGAGTCTCACATAGATAGACATAGTCGTTGTCCATGTACTATGTAAATCTAATAGACATAGTCGTACATGTACCATGCATGTATACCGTTCTACGGGGAAATGTTGAGGCGTGTTTCACTATGTTTGAAGTGCAGTTTTCAGTACAATAAATCCCGGGTCGAGATTATCATGATAGTACAATGATGTTTCCGGGGCCGATTAGTCATTCGTTAGGTAGAAGTACTAATAACGATCCTACTATATCACAAGCTTCTAGTATCAACAATAAGGAAGTAAAATAAAAATAAGATAATTCTCCTTTCTTCAAAAAATGTCGATGTTCCTCTGCCATACTTTTCAAACTGTCTATTGCCTGTTCCTTCAGCACTGCCTGAGATGCGTTGTAGGCCGTGCGCATTTTCTCTCCCTTGTCTTGCACGTTCCACATATCCACACGCAGCGCTTGAGTCCGCGTTTGCGTAGCCGCTATTTTCGCGTCGCGCTCTTGGGAAGTTAGAGAGATTCTAAAAAAAATAAAGAGAGAGAAACCTAGAGGGAAAGGGCAAAACACTTACTTATAGTTGGTATGTTAGAGAGAAAGAAAGCCAAGGGGAAAGAGCTGTAGAAGGGGAAAGAGCTATAAGGGGAAAGAGCTAACGCTTAGGGGAAAGAGCTAACGCTTAGGGGAAAGAGCTAAGGGTCAATGAGAAGTGGTGGGGAGCGATCATGGATGAAGCCTTACTCAGAAAATTTTTACTCAAACTTGGTAGTACGTTAAAGAGAGAGAGGGGTAAGCTGAAAGTTCTACTTAACGGACAAATCTAGGGGTAGCGGGAGAAGTGAATCGGGGACAACGGGAAGTGCTGAGGAAAAGTGGTGGGTAGAAGTAGTGATGGGGAGAAACAGAAATGGCCTCTAGGACGATGAGAATTGTTGATGCATGAAGAAAAAGGGCCCCCATCCCTATTGGTACTTCTAATCACAACATAGTGCCATCAAGTCATAACTGTTTCTGTATCTTATATCTTGCTTCTTCATCACGCGCAGCTGTGAAATTGGCGTACCATTCATCGGAAAACTCCTCAAAAGCAGAGGCCCGCTCTTGCTTTCGATCCTGCTCGGTCGTTTTCATAGCAACGAAACCTGAAACAGGAGTCCGAGTAATGCTGAAGACCTAGATGACCACGAGGTAATCAGGTTCACAGAACTACAATAGTTATTGTTTTAGTTAGTTGGTACAATGAGTTTTCGGGTGAAGTTACCCGATGCTTTCTGTGGAAGAAATAAATTTATCATTTTCTATTCATAGTAGATATAGATTAATACGATTACTAGTTGTTCAAAAAATGCGACCAAGTCAATCAAGCTAAGTATGCTAATTTGTATCTACGTGGTTCCGCATCATCATCATCATCATCATACATCATCATGATCACAATCCACTTATAATATATAATTCGTATAGCACAAGCGAGACACAACACAAAGCTAGAAGTGGAACCTAACATCTCTACCACTCAGACGCTCACTCCTTTTTCTCTCAGTATTTGCACCCTCTTTCTTCCCAACACAATGACAAACTTCAATAACAAGCCCGACACTAATTAACTATATGAAGGCGCTGGACCATTCGAACGCAGACTGTTAAGGCGCGTCTAGTTTCTCGGTGAGAAACGCTTGAGCTTGATACAGATTGCACGACTGCACTCACAGCCTGAGACTAACGGTCTCTGGCTGCTTTGATCCCTGTGGATATTCATCGGGGTCACAAAGAGGAAGCCCCAGCTTCTTCGTTAAGATATCGCGACGCATGGGGAAAGCTTCATATGCTTCATATGGGAACGCCTATGCTATCATCGTTGACTCATCCGATCGCCCTACTTCGATGCCCATCTTCGGCCAGAACTGACAAGACGTTATCGACCTGATTACAGCTTATGAACATTCGCCATCTCTGCTATCTGAATACGTTGAAGGTTCTTTGCCTGTTGATCGTTGATTTTGGAACTATATGCGTTTAGGTCTGAAGGTTATCTTTGAGATCTTTCCTGTGTTGCTTTGTCCTTGACTGTGTTGGGAGGCTTGAGCCACAAACGAGAGAGAGAGGAGAAGCCGAAGACAGCCGCGCGACGGTAAACCCGTCGGGCGTTTGGATGGTGCTCCGGTAACCTTTTGCCTGGCGATCTTGGTCATTTTGATGATCTTCATGCGTCTGATCTTTGTGACATTTCACGACTACGAAGATCTTGACCAATGCCCCCCCCCAATCGTTGCGCGTCGAAGTCCCTAGTCTCTGGACTACCACGGAGATCATATCTCCTAACTATTCATCTACGGCTACGGTATACTTGGCTAGAAACCAAAACTGACCGAATATACTACGCTGTAGTAGGCTACACCATCCCCATCCGTTTCATCGTCTGAGAAGTCACGCTCATTATACTCCACTCTATTTATCGGATTCTCTACATGGTGAAGTAGTAGCCTACGTGGAGACGGGCTACACTCTAGCTTAGTTAAGCCATCAGCCTCCATTAAGTTAGTTGGACAGAGAACTATCTTACTCACCGCATCACGCGCACACAGGTAGCGAAGTGCATAATGGCGACCCTTCGGGCGTGTGTCAGTTGCTTTAGCTGTTGTGATCGCGGGCTGGTTGTCGATCCAGAGCGCAGAACCGTCTAAAGAGGGAGGCAAGCCGTTCTGTGTGTGCACCAACTGAGTTGGTAGAGGCCTACGGAAGTCTGTAAAGTCACGCAGTTCACTCAGCACAACTGTGCCAGAAGCTGCAACGTATTCACTCTCAGCCGTAGAATAGGCACGGGCAGTCTGTCTTCACGCAGTTCACTCAGCACAACTGTGCCAGAAGCTGCAACGTATTCACTCTCAGCCGTAGAATAGGCGCGGGCAGTTTGTCTATTACTTCTCCAAGCGATTGGAACGCCTCTGAAATACATGATCGACCCACTTGTGCTTCTCATAGTCTTCACGCAGTTGGCGAAGCCTGCACCACTAAAGATATTCACTTCTGGCATATCTCTGCCTTCAGGTAATAACTTCGAAGAGTCTCTATGGGGTTCTTCTCCTTGTTCTGGTGGGTATTCCAGTCCTTGTTCTCTCGTTGTCGCCAGATACTTCAGCACTTTTCTGGCTGCTTTCGCCATTCTTACTGGCGTGGGTTTGCTGACATGTCTAGCCAGCGCCGCCACCGGTGCAGAGATGTCCGGGCGCGCGGTTACAGCTGCCCACAGTAAGGCACCAACTACCTCACGAAAGGGATACCCTTCGACTATCTTGGTCCCCTCCTCAAGAAAAGGAAGCCGACTCGTCAAAATTGGGCGAGTAGACTGGTTCTCCGCCTTCGGTTTCAAATCTCTTTGCGATTTTATCGATGTACTCTTCCACATTAAGCCGAAGCGCTCGAGCTTCACGGCAGTAGTACACGATGGCACCTAAGAAGTCGAACCTTAGCCACGCCTGACCCCCAGGGGTTGGAACGGACTCCACATCAATCGCACGGCCAGGGGCACGCGAGAAGATGTGTTCTAGTTCAGTCTTGAGCAGAGCTCACCGAGATCAGGACCCGTCGCAAGATTGTCATCGACATAGACTGACACCCTGAGGAACTTCCCAGGTACTTTCGCACTCGGCTTTCTCCATAAGCCTGGCGCAGAATCAGACGGCTCCCAGCCAAGATTGGCCAGCGTGTCGTAATATTTCTTGAACCATGCTCGTGGTGCGTCCTTCAAGCCGTATAAGGCCTTCTTCAGCTTCACGATCTCGCGCCCATGCTTCCCTGCCCAGATGGGTGGGAGACGACAGAAGACATCGCGGCCGAGTTCAGCACTTAGGAACGCAGAATCTAAATCGAACGGGATCACATAGTCCTGCGCTGCTCTGACGCAGCAGAAGTCAGGAGAAACCTACTAGCGGCGTGCGAAACTACGGGAGCAAAGGCGTTTAGCTCTCCTGATCGATCTAGATTACCGAGGACACAGGCGCGAGCCTTGTATCTTCCACGTCTTTTAATAGTTAGAATTATGGCAATTGGTAGAGCCTGCCGCGCGGTCGCAGGCTCCTCGTCAGAGGCTGCTTCGCACGTTTCCAAGGCTAGCAGTCTCGCGCGCTCTTTCTCAGTAACCTCCTGCCACGCACTTATCGGCATCAGGGGACTCGAGAGCTTGAGCAACGGACAAAATCGCACACGATTCGACGAATTCCTCACCTTCGTCTAATTCACACACGCCACCAACTGCACTAGCGAGCAGCGCCATGCTCTCCCTCAGTTCTTCTACCTGTTTCTTTGTTCTTCGAACCCTGCCGCCTGCCTTGTCCTCAGCTCCTTTTGGTCGGCCACGCTTCTTGCCGTGTGTACGGCGTTCGCCTGCCACAACACGCGCTGGGGAAGGCGCTTTCAACCTAGACGGACTAAGCGGCGCAGATGTCTCGCGATCCTTCGCTTCAGCATTCCCCTCCGCAGGTGAAACACCTTCAGGAGAGTCAGCCGCGTTGGATTCTTCTGCCTTATCCAGTGTCTCAGTACGCAACTCGTCGGAAATACCGGCCGGCCCAACTGGAATGTGCTCCGTGCCAGAGAACCCCGACTGATGGCCCAGCCTCTGTGCTGACTGTCCAAGCAAGGGGGAGTCCAGCGACGACGCGCCACTCTGCAGATTTTCCAGCTCGTCATACTCTATGTAGATGGATGCCCTTCCTATCTGGCAAAAGCCAACCAATATTCTTTATTAGGTAGTCCTCTCTGCACTTTATCTCTCGGGTAGAGTATTCCGCCCATCGATGTCCAAGCCTGCAACGATCGCCATGGGCGAAAGTCCCAACCAACCAACCAACCAGACGACTTCGGACAGAGTCCAAGGAAGACGCCACGGCGGTACTTGGCCGAGAGCTTGGGCGCAGGAGTGCTGGCCTGAATTTGTTCACGAAAGTAAACTAGACAACCAAATCGGCGGAGCATGCCGATTGAACTCTTCGGCGAGTTTCTACCAGTCCCTTCTTCCAAGATTTCAATTGGGCTCTTTCCATCATATTGAGGCGCTTTTGCGTAATTATGCGGCAAACGATCCCAGCAGTCACCAGCGTACTCGACGCAGTAACACCAGAGACGTTTATCAACTTTAGTCAGCATTGTGCGAACACTGCCGAACAAAGTCCGCGCAAAACGTTCGCAGGTCCCATTCGTCTCCGGATTATAAGGAACAGCCAGACTGTCTGAGACTCCAGCGATTGCATAACTTTGGCCATGTCGTCAATACTCAGGACAGGTTCTCCATCCCTCCGGAGGAACCGCGCTACCTTGTCATCGAGAGATAAGGAGTAGTCCTGGCGAATGCCTTTGATTGCCTCTTCTATTTCCTCCACGCAGTCACTTTTCAGCTTAAGCGGTCGACCGAGCACCTTCTTAATTACATCACAGATGGCCACTAATACACATCTCCTCGACCTGACTGATGCGGGTTTGACTTTGATTCCAGCTGCAAAGTCGATTGCTAGAAACTTCAGTGGTTCAAGTTTGTAACTCGAAGCACCTCGAGCCTTTGCATGGGGTGCGCGTTCCGTTGGCCTTTCTTGTGTAGATCGCACCCAGGACAGTTTACCTGGGGGCCATCTATATGAAAGCGCCCACGCCTTCTATGAAGTTCGAGTCTTGTAAGATAACAGCTACTGGCCCCTTCTTCAACTGTTGAACAAATATAACCGCTATCAGTCTCTTCTTTAAGAAAGTTGCGCGCAAGTGTGGGAAGCTGCGAGCGTGGAAGACTTCTTATGGGTATGGCCTGGCCGGTGTCCGTATGCACGAGGCGGCCGCCTGTGTCTTTGAAATTGAATCCCCATCCTAATTGCGAGCAGCTCCCCTCACCTAGCCAAGGTATAACACGATCTAAATCCTTTGGCGATGAATCATAATAAATAAGCACCACACTGGAGCCCTAAGATGTTTGGCTTCAGTTTTCCTACTCTTCCGCCTTTACTTCCAGCGCTGCCAGTGATCCTACAAATTCTCCTAGTTATATCACTAATAAAGTCGTCTTTGTGTCTTGCGAGATATTTGCTTGCACAACTATCAACCAGACTAACTCCTTCTCTTGCAGCAATGGAACTAGTTGAAAGACTATGCCCCACAAGTTTTATTTCCCCAATATTATCCAGGTCTGTTGCTTCTTCACCCTCATCATCATCCAAATGCAGCGAGCAAAATCCACTCTCCACCGGTTCCGCATCTCAGCTCGGCTCTGCGGCATTGAGAGCTTGGAACAGCTCCGCAATTTGAGACATGTGAGCCACGCCGTTACCCTTTCCACCTTTACCCTTAACACTACTAGATTGGGAACTGGTGCCCCAGTTCCAGTCTGCCTGGTTCTGTGGATTCTTCCAACAAGACGCGGACTTGTGGCCCGGTTTGTTGCAGATCCAACAGACTGGACGGGTATTCTGTTTGCCAGAACCTAGACTACTTTTGTTCTGCGGCTTTCCTTTGCCGTTCGAGTTGGAGGCGTAGACCTCGGCGGTGATCTTCTTCTTTGTGTTTGCCTTGAAGCGCTTGGGGGCACTTTTAGGCAGAAAGATCTTACCACCTTCGTTGGCCTTTTCCTCGTCGTCCTCCTCTTCGCGAGGGCGTTTGTTTGAGGTTTCCTGAACATTGACCGGGAACGCCTTCCCGAGGGAATCGCTCTCAACCTTGTAGGTTCCCCCCTCGACCAACGTCGCAAGACGCTTTTCAAGTCGGTCACCGATCTGGCCAAATGTCAGGCCATCTTCCTCCTGCATACGTTCGACCGTTTCCTTGAAGTTCTTGCAGAACAGTTCGGGCAACTTCTGCAGCAGTGCACCACTCTGCTGGTCACTTTCTGGCGCTCCTGCTTCCGGCGGGTACACGGTGGGCGACTGGTTCACTATGTCTCGGACTTTCGACAGGAATCCCTTGACATCTGCAGGCTGGTCCGCGTTGTGGAACTTCAGCAAACCATCCGCAAGCGGTTCTGCTTTCATCCGTTGTTCCTGGCGGTTGTTTTGATCGAAGTGTCCTACATCACGCAGGAGCGCAGCAGCCTCGCCTGCATCTATCGCATCCACCTGACCACTATCAATCTTCCTGGTTGTTTATGAACGACGCAGCGGCACCTTTCAGACTACGAGCGATCGCGTCTTTCAGGTTGCGCCACTTTTGACGGGCTGCGTCCTCCCGGGTGGTAACTCCGTTAGGAATACCATGAGGAGCTGCCGGCACGCCAACTACATTCGTTTAGTTTTGAAGCAGGCCGAGGCGGCTAGCTTCCTGACGTATGGCACGCTGCCACTCTCGCCAGTCGGACTTCTGTCCGAGTTTCTTCGGAATTTCTTTCGCATCGCAGGACATTCTGAAGAGCTTTCTCTAGATGGATTTCTACTCTATACTAAGCTCAAGGGTCAGAGTAGTGCTGGACCATTCGAGCCCAGACTGTTAGGTCGCGTCTAGTTTCTCGGTGAGAAGCGCTTGAGTTTGATACAGATTGCACGACTGCACCCACGGCCTGAGACTGACGGTCTCTGGCTGCTTTGATCCCTGTGGATATTCATAGGGGCTGCAGAGAGGAAGCCCCAGCCTCTTCATTTCATTAGGATATTATGACGCATGGGGGAGGCTTCACATGCTTCATATGGGAACGCCTACGCTATCATCGTTGACTCATCCGATCGCCCTACTTCGATGCCCATCCTCGATCAGAACTGGCAAGACGTTATCGACCTGATTCCAGCTTATGAACCTTCGCCATTTCTGCTATCTGAATACGTTGAAGGTTCTTTGCCTGTTGACCGTTGATTTTGGAACTATAAGCGTTTAGGTCTGTAGGTTATCTCTGAGGTCTTTCCTGTGTTGCTTTGTCCTTGACTGTGTTGGGAGGCTTGAGCCACAAACGAGAGAGAGAGGAGAAGCCGAATACACCCGCGCGACGGTAAACCCGTCGGGCGTTTGGATGGTGCTCCGGTAACCTTTTGCCTGGCGATCTTGGTCATTTTGATGATCTTCATGCGTCTGATCTTTGTGGCATTTCATGATTACGATCTTGACCAAGGGAAGGCCCTCAATAATAAACCCTACGCTAATACTTCAATAAACCCTAAAGTCTAGGCTGTACGTTTTTCATCATCATCGACTTTCATTCGAAAGGCTGTGCGATCGCGTTCTTTTGTAGAATCCTCCGCTTTTTCCATCGCCTTATACTCAGACTCACCCGCCGCCTTCATCCGATCGAAGTCCACTCTCATTTTAGAGCAGATGCTAAGGCAGCATCATCTTCTTGCGGGGAATCCTGCTATTCTTTCACGTTGTTTCATCCGCTTGAGAAAAAACTACACAGCACTAGGGAAAATGGTTTGCGTCCTCTTGTGATGTCTAACTCTTCGCTTTCCCTTATGATCGAGAAAAAATGACTTCTCAGGGATCTTCCTATTAGTACTTACGCATTATGATCTGCAGCCTTAATCACTCTATATTTTTCGTCTGTCTCGATCTGGCGGATTCTTCTAGCACTATTATTGTAATCCCGGGTTGCATTATGCAGCTGTTTTTCAAGAGTGTCCCTCCCACGTGCTTTGGTATTGCTTTCGGCTTGCTTTGTTGCGGAGGGTTAGAAGAGAATCCTGGTAATCAAACTCAGGTCACTGAGTACCTCCAGAGGCATACAAAGAAGTCGGGGGGAGACGCTGAGTCAGAGTATGAGTAAGTGTGAGATGAGCGGGTCAGTAGGATAGAAGACGCTGAGTCTTTCAGGAGAGTCAGAGTATGAGTAAAAAGAAAAAGTAACAGGTAGAAAACTAACAAGCAGGGCTTCATCTAGTCGATTAGAATATACATATCTTTACCGATGAACCAAACTACATCGTGAGTGCTCGTCTACTGTTCGTTTTTATCGTAATTTTTGTAGCTCTCTTCCAGTGTCCTCAGAGCATCGACTCCTCTTTCGTGGGCTTCACGTAAGTCTTCGCGTTCGATGTTGTCTCTTTTTCTTAGAGATTTCCAGTCGAAGCCTTCGCACCTCTATTTTGGTGCTCTGATTTCTTGTGAAATCAATAGGGCATGTCATGTCATGGTGCCTCTTGTGTAGCTATACGTGTTTGTAGTCAACCTATTTGGCCATCCAGTAATGCAGTACCTCCTTAGGAGGTAGGCAATTCATACAGGCCACACTAGAGGAGCGGACTCAACTTCAACGAACAGTACTAGGAGGCCAGCAGCACATCACCAAAACCTAGTGGTAGTGAATATGGTCAAGAGTAAATCAGATATGCTCAACATAGAGCCCCCAGCCCCAGAGATTTTCTAACAGAATAAACACGGGAAAGACCACCTCTGGTGATCCATCTAGGGGGGCATGTGATTAGAAAGACAGCACCATGATGACCGGAGAGGCTAAATATTTTGAAATTGTCACCCGGCATACCCCTGGTGTGGGTACATTCAGTCAGTCACTCACTCACTCAACATTTACTTTTTTTTGTTACCTGGGTCTATAATTCTCGCATTCATTCACTCTTAATATTCTTGTCTCCTCCAGCAATCGCTTGTACGCTTCAGTCGTATTGGTTGCATTGGCCCATGTATAGTTTCTAGCTGCGTCTATCTGCTGCGTACGGGTGAGAACGAATTGTCGATACTGTTTCGCCTTGTTCGCAAGCTCCGTCATTCGCCGTTTCGTCGCGTTGCGCAGGGTCTCTTTTGCCACATTAGATGAGGCTGGTGGTCTTGATCTTATCTACTTGGGTACCTGTTTCACATCATTATTTCGCATGGTCATGTCATGCCATGTCATGTATCTCTTTCACATCATGTCGCACCTATATATCGGGTATCGATGGGATCAAAGACTACGCGCTAAAGCAAGCTCTACTTGGTGTTCGTTGCTTCCACCTAGGGGGTGTTGGGGTGACTCAAGTACGTAAATACGAATATGGAAGATCCAGAACTAGATAAAACCAACACCTGTCATCGATGCTCCTGGAGGTCTGCCAACATTGTCTTGAACAAGAAAGATCTTTGCATTTCTTGCACCAGACTTGTTATAGTTGTAGGTCACTAATACTTATATTATTTTTCTACCAAGTACAACGAGAACGACCACCTAATCGAATAAGTAAGTACCTACCAGCTAGTTCAACAACATAAACATTAGATGTACATTATATTAATGGTGAAGCAGACCTCACTGAAGGAAAGGAAGGTCAAAGGAAAAAAAGATATGATAAAAACATTATTGAATATTGACCATGTGCATTATATTAAAACACACGGGCGGAGCCAAGCTAACTAGGAAAAGAAAAAGGAAGGATAGTAGGTAAACGATATATAAGGACAGACTTATTAGTAATGGCCAAGCTAAGTAGGACCCGTCTATTCTAGGCGCCGCGTGTCGTCCACCAGCCCCGGCGGTCTTCTCATCGGAGGCGGCCGAGGCCTGTGCTTGCCTCAGAGAAGTGCTCGCCTCTCGCGCTATGTGCACCCACTAGTTCGCTCCAGGGTACCGGTTCACCAAACTAGTGCACAGCGCGAGAAATAGGACGTATAATTGATCTCGTACCAACCAGGAGCCATAAACTGTTGGAACTCTATTCTTGCTTCCGTGGCGTTTTGCATCACTTCGTCTAGTAGGTCTTCCCACCGTCGCATGGTCCTCTCGGTGGCATTCACTAGCCTCTCGTAGTCCACCGCAAGTTCTGCGTATTCACGTAACCTATGTGCGGTAGTTTGTAATATCATGACCCTCCAAGTGATATCATGAGGCATTATACCAGGAGAGAGTCCTCCAATTAGTAACTACATGAGTCACTGTAGACTTAGACATAAAGAGTCCAGTCAGTGGTACTTTATTTCATCCAATGAGTCATTATGATATGTAGGAGAGAGTTCAGTCGGTACTAGTACCAGAACAAATTAAGTACTTATTGTCATCCATCCGTCGAGAACAACTAGTAGTACTTTTCCAAAGAGTCATTGTAGAGAGTCCAGTTCGCGGCTTCGGAATAGATCTCCCAGAGTGCTGCGATTCTGTCCTGCTCTTTTCGGATCGTTTCATTTAGTTCTCGGTTACGTTGTACTTCACTGGCGTTATAGAAGACCCGACGAGCCTCGACGTCGGTATTCATTGCATGGATGCTCTTATCCAAAAACTTGCCCGCAGACTCAAGCTGCCGTTGCCTGTGTTGTAGGAGAGAGTGGGATGATGTAATAAAGCAGCTTCATCAAGAGGAAGAGGACAACCAATACCAAACGCAAACTATCAGAAAAATTTCTATACTATATATAATGTACTATGAAATTAGGTCCTCTACTACTAGTACTAAGTGGTCTACTTCTGCTGGGCTCTTCATCGATTCTTCCATGAATATGCTACTTTTTCCTATTTTGGACAACAGAAGAAGTTCCTCTATCCCTCTTTTGTTTCTACATGTACACCTGTTGTTTACCACCATTTTTGGCATGTCTACGTTTAGTACAACGAGGAGGTTAATAACAATCATGGAATAGATTGAGACTGAGAGAAACTACTACTTAACCCTACGGTTCATGAACTTCACCAGCCAACATCTACTCAGTTGCAGTCCTGTTGTTGTTAACCATCATGAAACTCAAAAATATTTACATTTCTTTCTCTCTCATTTATATTTTCCATGGTTTAATACGTTTATGAAAATCAAAGGTGTACATTTCTTTCTCCCTCATTTCCATGTCATGCTTCCTGCTATCGTTGTACGCTTGCAAATCTCGTGTAAGGTTCATGATCAGTTGATCCAGCAACCAGATCTGATGAGCGTGCTCGTCGTGCATCGACTTGTTCGTGTAGTCCTGGGCTGCCACTGTTTCAGCCATTTTCTGGTCCAGGGCTTGGGAATTAGAGAGAAACAGAAAGATAATGGTAATGTTGTGAGGATGAATTTAACACAAAGATGAAACAAGATGATGGAAGGATCCTTTGTTGAGAGCCCTCTATTTTCCTAGAACAAGAAGGTACCCGAGAATTTGAGGAGACTGTAACTTCTGTTACTATTCTCCTAGATGAATTAAGGAATGAACGAAAACCAAAAGTGCGAAGAAAAACTCGTCTCGTCAGGAAGGAGAGCACACAGCACATCTTCTTGACGGCTGACGCGCCTAGAGAACTACAGTGCTTGAAGATGTGATCGAAGTGCGCATCTTCTATCTACTCTACCGCAAAAGAAACATGTCCTTCAAGGGAAACTTTGAGTAGCTTGACGTCTTCTATCCTCTACTTTTAGAAGTAGGCTTAGCAGAAGTTTTCTAGTACATAGAAAGATACATAGTAGAAGAAAAGGCCAATTATGCATACTTAGATAGTCATAGTAGAAGTAAAGGAGTTCCTCCTTAACGTTTTCTGTATCTAGTTCTAGATTGTGATATATGTTCCAGGGCTCAGGGCGGGAGGCCCCCCGTGGGACTTACGGAACGCCGCAGAGCTGTTCGCGACGCGTGACGCCCACCGCGTGACGCCGAGAGCTTCGGGGGGAAGACGAGACGCCTGGGCTCAATTTCAAGCGTGACGCAGCACGCAACTAATTCGCGCGATGTGCTTCACGTGTCACGCGGCGACCGGCGCGTGGTCCGTGGATCTTTGAGCGATCTGGGGCTGGTTCTTTGATCGATCCGCGGACCTTTGATCGATCCGCAGGCTTTTGATCGATCCGCGGACTTTTGGTCGATCCGTGGGTCTTTGATCGATCCGCGGGATCTTGATCGATCCCCGGCTCCGTGATCGGTCTGGGCTGGTCTGTGGATCCATCTTTGAACGAAACGCGAATCCTTGGCCGATTCGTGGATCCTTGGCCGATCTGTGGGCCTTTGATCGATCCGCGGGCCCTTGATCCATCCGCGGGCTCTTGATGGGTCCGGGGTTTTTTTGGCGATCCGTGCGTGGGTCACTGATCAACCCACAGGCCGCGGATCAATCCACGGATCACTGGCCGATCCGTGGGTCTTCGATCAGTCCACGGATCGCGGACCAATTTGCGGGCCTTTGATCAATCCGCGGGCCACTGATCAATCCGCGGATCACTGAGCAATCCCCGGGTCACTGATCAGTCCCCGGATCACTGATCAGTCCCCGGATCACAGAGCAATCCGCGGATCGCTGACCAATCCGCGGATCACTGACCAATGTGCAAATCGCTGACCAATCTGCGGATCACTGACCAACCCGCGGATCACTGACCAGTCCACGGATCGCTGAGCAATCCACGGGTTGCGGATCGATCTGCGGGTCACTGATCGATCCGTGGGTCGCGCGTGCCGCGTCATGCATGGGTCACGCGTGACGCGTCGATGACGCGACGCGTCGCGTCACGGGTCATCCATGCGGACGCGTCACGCGTCACGCGTCAAGGGAGAGCAAGGGGGTCACCCTTGTGGTGGGGGGGGTTACGCGGTGGGACTAATGTGGACAGTTCTACGGCGTTCAGTCCACCTTACGGAGGCCCCCCCTCCCGATCTAACTTCTTGAGGGGGGGGGCTACCCTTAAGCTCGAGAATGGGACCCCCTGGGCTTTACGGGATTCCTCGGGCGGATATGATCTGGGGCCAAGCGATCGCCAGGCAGGTCCTGCTCCTGCTGGGGCCTCCTGTGGTTCCTGTGGTTCCTGTGGTTCCTGTGGTTCCTGTGGTTCCTGTGGTTCCTGTGG